GGAAAGAAGAGAGACCCAGAGCAGGGGTTGCAGCAGGAGGCGCGGAGCCTGCAGGCACCCAGAGGGGAGATCGCAATCGCGATGACCCAGCAGAGCTGCTCTCGGGGACAACGCCATCCGGGAGAGGCCGGGCTCCCCTGAGCCCCACTAGGGGCCCCGCCTCCAGCCACCCACCTCCCCCATAGGCAACGTCACCCCTTCGGCTTCTCCCCAGGTGAATGTGCCTGCTGTGCCTGGCCGGGGGCCGGGAGGTGTGAGCTGCACACAGAGAGCCGGGCCACCGACAGCCCTTGGCTGGGGCAGGTGGGCCTCCGCCCCCAGGCCCTGTGCTCACCCCCAGAGCCCAAGGTCTTCACAAATGCCACGCGCGAGACAGGCTGCACCTGGGCTTCTCGCTCGGAGCTAGGGACGGGGCCGCGCAGGCGAAGATGTCAAGTCACAGAAAGGAAAGGGAGGGCATCCCAGGGTTGGGGACAACAGACCCAGGGAAGGGAGGACAAGGAAGAGAAAGCAGTACGGAAGCCAACTCGGATCCGGAGAAATGGTTATCTCAAGTCCTCGGACCTGGGCCTTGGGGAGGGAGAGTCCTCTGGGAAATCAACAGAGGTCTAGATCAGGACGGCAGCCACCAGCCACACCGGGCGACTTCAGCTCATTACAACTATCCAGCACTCAGAACTCCCCCCATCCCGCCTTGCCCGAGCCACAGCTCAAGTGCCCAGGGGCCCCCTGTGGCGGCCAGCTCCGCATTAGCACACATCTACCACCCCAGAAAGTTCCACCAGACGGCGCTGGTAAAGACCCTCACCCAGGAGAACGGGAAACACCCTGTAAAAACGGGCCCACGACATCGGGGGCTCCAAGAGCATCACTCACCCACGGTCGGCCCCGTGGTGCTGCGGGCATGCAGGGCCGGGTGGGTCACTGTGGGGGGTGTCCTGGGCGCTGTACGGTGATGAGTGGTATCCCCGGCTCCCACCCACTCAATGCCAGGACCCACCCCCCGACTTGTGACAACCACGAAGTCGTCACCCAATGACCGACCACGGGGTTGACAACCACTGCTCTAAACGGCAACGGCCTTTGGGGTGAGGAGGGATGTGAGGGGAGGTCTGGACCTGCCTCCAGGGGGGGCCTGGAGGGGCTCCCCAAGGACTTGGCTGGGGGTCCACAGAGCTCAGGCTGAGCCTGAGATGTTCTAGCAGGAGGGCCCAGTCCAAGAGCAGATGGGCTCGGAGCGGAGGCCCAGGACCGGGGAGGGGCTCCCTTCTCGCAGGGACCTGAGGCAAGAACGCCGGAGGCCGGCAGGTCCGCCAACACCAGATACGGCTACAGGCGCTCAGAATCCAGGCGCAGGGGCTGGGATCAGGACCTCGACAGCAGAAGGGACTGGAGGGGACAGCAAGGATCTGTGCTGGATCCAGGCCCATGGGGGCTGAGCGAGAGGAGAGCCAGGGCCAGAGACGATCCAGGACTCCCGGGGAGAGCGAGCACGCGGGGACCCAGAGGGAGACTGAGACCAGGCGGTGGGTGTGCACCGAGGGAAAGGATGACACACAGGGTCCGAGGACCCCCAGGAGCCCACAGGCACCGGGACTGAAAGGGGCTATGGGTGCCTGGCTCATGAGCTGGGCCCAGAAAGCAGGGAGCCTGGAAAGGTGGGCCTCGGCGGAAGCCAGGCCCGGTGAGTGATCAGAGCTCTGAGCCCCCGGCCGCGGAACACTGGCACTGAAGAGAACGCCCCGGGGTGCCCCTGGGGGCCGAGGACGGTCAGGGCTGGCGGGACCTGCCCACCGGCTGCCTCCGCCTGGCAGGAACTAAGCGAGGAGGCTTGCCTCCAGCCGGGCTCGCCGAGGGGGTGCTCTGGGCTCGGGGGCACGACCCGGCGAGGACGGACGCCGGTGGCGCGCGGGAAGGGGGCCCGGGCAGTGCGCCTCTGGCCCGGCTGGGCATCAGACAGAGGGGACGAGGCCCGGGTCCAGGAGCAGAGCGGACGCGTGGCCTGAGGGTCGGAGCGACGGGATCCGGGGCGCGCTGCCCTGTCCGGGGCGGGGGCTGCCGGGGCCAGCGCCCGGGGCGCCGAGAGCCGGGCGCGTCGCAGGGCGCAAGCACGCAGGTGACTCGGCGGGGCCGGCCGCGGCTCGGCGGGACTCGGCGGGGCTGCAGCCGGGCCGGCGGGCGCGGCGCGTCCCGGGGCCCGCGGGGGCCGGCCGCACGCACCGTAGGGCTGCCCCTGCAGGTCGTACTGCTGCATGCGGTAGACGGTGAACTCGTGCGCCGCGTCGGCGGCGGGCAGCGGCGGCGCCACGAGCAGCAGCACGGCGGGCAGGAAGACGATGAAGCCAAGCGGCAGGCACGACGCCTTCAGCATGTTCTCCAGCACCTCGCCCGCTTCTTCCAGCATCCTGGCCGGCGGCGGGGCCGCGCGGAGCGGCGGCGGGCACGGGACGGCGGCGGCGGCGGCGGCTCCCGCGGACTCACCTCAGCATGGGTAGCCGCCGGGGTCCTGCGGGCGCCGCGCCGGGCAGCCCGCGCCTGCTCCGGGGTCCTGCGGGCACCGCCACGGGCAGCCCCGCCCGCCGCGCTGCCTCCCGGGAGTCGTAGTCCTCCGGGCGCGCGCGGAGCCTCCTGGGAGTGGTAGGCCCGCTGGGTTACTTCCCCGTGGAGGACGTTGTGAAGGACCGTATGGCTAAACCTGAGGATGAAGTTTCACGTAACACGCGAGTCAGAAAAATACGGAGACTTTAAGGCAACTATTTGGAGTGGAACTTTCTCAAAAGCTGTCTTTGTGGTGGTGGGGGGTTGGTGCGCGAGAGGTGGAGGCAGGACGTAACCTTGCGACCCGGAAGGAAGTTGGAATGAGAGCCTAGCGGGGCCAGCCTGGGGCGCGTAATCTCCTGGGAATTGTAGTCTTGTGACGCGGCGCAGGGGCTCATGGGAGCTGTAGTCTTCCTGGCCGAAGTCAGAAATCCCTTAAAACTCCTGAGGAACGTAGATGCTGAACTCCACGAGGGCAAAGACTTTTGTCTGCTTCCTGCGTTCGTGTATCCCCAGAACCCAGTGCGAGGCCTGGCACGCAGTGAGTGGGTTGTAGCGTTTTTAGAAGAATGAATGAAAGAAGAATAAAGAAATCATGATAGACGTTTCCTAAAGGGATGGCGCGGTGGGTTATGGGACTTGTAGTCTGGCGCGTGGCGTTGGGGAAGGGGTTGGTGATAGGCTTCCTTAAACCCGTGTATACCTAAGGCTTACTCGTATTTGGGACATACGTATAGTAAAAAATAAACTTCGTTGCTCATCAGAAATGCAAATTTAACTGGGGGTCCCAAACCTCTGTTTTCGAATCTGGCAACCCTAGGAACCCGCTGTGTTCTGCGCAGGGGTCTGAAGGAGCATCAGTAACGCACACCCCCTCCTCCTGATGGAAAGACGCGAAAGCCCGGGTGAACTGACATCCAGCCTCCAATAGGGCCGCCTCCCTTCTGTCCCAGGTGCGGGGTGGCGCTGACTCGCAGCATTTTGGATTCAGGTCCCTGTGCCTCCCCCCTCCCCGGCTGTGTGACCTTGGGCAGATTGCTTCACCGCTCAGAGCTCAGTTTCCCCAGCTGGTCCATAGGATGACAAATAATCCCACACCCTCCTCCCCTCCCTCTGCAGGGCTAACCCCTTACTGAAATGACCTCTGGCTGCTTGTCACTCCCAGCAGAGTGCGACCTTTATGGGAGCAGGTAGCAAGCTGTGGACAGGCGCAACCGCTGCATGGAGGAGAGCCTGACAGATGGTGGTTAAGTGAATGAGTGAGGGAGATGAAGGAGAAGTGAGCCCACCCCTCCGAGTCCTGTCTCTCCCAGGGAGCTCCTGGGCCCGGGTAGTCAGGGGTGGCCTGGCAGGGCGGGGGGGGGGGGGGGGGGGGGGAGGACCAGAATTCATTCTGGCCCGTGTTCTCTTCACACCTGTTCCTTCTGCCCGCGCACGGGTTCTTCCAGGTCGGGCTATGAGCGCACAAGGTCTGCACACGCTCACCCAGAGATAGCCCGAGAAAGGGGCCTGACCTGGCTCAGCTAACAGGGTGCGGGCCCTAGAGCTGCTCGTGCTTCCTCCTCCCCGGAGTCCAAGTTCTTCTGTCTGGAGAGCGGAGAGATTCAACGAATCCCTAACAGGCAGGGATGAAGAAGTCACCAGCCTGCCGCGGCCAGCGCTGCATGCCAGCGCTGCCCCTTCCTAGCTGTGTGACCTTGGGTCAGTTACCTAATCTCCCTGGTTCTCAGTCTCTCCATCTGTAAAATGGAGTTAATGGCGGTATCTTCCTCCTAGCGGATTACAGAGGAGGAAACGAGTTAATACCGAAGCGATGGGAGCTGTCCCACCAGGAGGAGTCAGGATTCTGGGGACAGTTGTGCTGCTGTCAAGGAGGGGGCCTGGGGAGTGGAAGAAGGAGAGGAAGAGGTTTCTAAGGCTTGTAGGGAGGCATGCTGTTGGGTCCAGTTCTCCCAGAGCTCTGGCCGCAGTCATGACCCAGAAACTGCCACAGTGTCCATCCTCGTGGAGCATCTAGTCCAGAGGAAGAGATGGAGGAGTGGCCAGAAGTGAGCACGGCTGCCATCAGTGCGGGATGCGCAGGCAGCTGTGCGAGCCGAGAAGAAACCTTGGGAGGAGAAGATCAGGGAAGACTTCCTGGAGGAGGTGATGCTAAAGCCCAGACCCAAAGAAAGGGCAGGGGACAGGCAAGTTAGGACTGAGGGTAGGGACATGCCGGGCAGGGCACTATGGTGGGGACAACAAAGCAAGTGCAAAGGCCCCCAGCTGGGCAGGCCCAGCAAATAGTTCAGCTCACTCAGAAGAGAGCCTGTGAGAGCAGAGTGGGCAGCCGGGCCCGCGCACACAGGCCCAGAGCACAGGCTGAGCACTTCAGGGTGGCCCAGGCTCCACTGACCCCCGATTCCACCGAGTCCCTGCCCTGCCTGGCGCTGTCATGGATAACATGATGACAGGAATCAGGAAAACATAAAAATATCCCAATTTATTGTGCACCTGGACACGTGCTTGGAGCTTTATCCAAACTTCTCGGATGATGGACGTGTCCTGTGTCTACACTAGCCGAGACAGTGGTTGCAAGCCCAGGTCACTAAACATTATGGGCCGGACCATGTCCCCTCAGAGTTCACATGTTGAAATCCTCCACATGGGACGGGGTTTGGAGACAGGGTCTTTATGAGGTGATCAAGCTAAAAAGGAGTTCCTTAGGGTAGGCCTGGCATCCTTCTAGAACGGTGGCATTCGGGCACAGACACCCAGGGAGGGCGCCACATGAAGGCATGAAGGCAGCAATTGGGACAGCACTTCCCGGAGCCACGAGCCTCCGAGGACACCCGCAGAATCCAGGAGAGCGGGGGGGACAGGCTCTACCTCGGAACTTCAGGTGCACCAGCCCCGCAGGCACCTCGGTTTCAGACTTCCAGCCTCCAGGACCGCGAGAGGACCCTTTTCTGTCCAGTCACCTGTTCTATGGCTCTGAGATGTGGCACCTCCAGCCGACCAATGCACCAAGAAGGTGAGTGTTTTGTATTTCTTTTCATTTTCCTGCGTTGTGAGCAGCCACACGTGGTTGGTGGCTGCGGGACCGACCAGCACGGCGAACAGCTCCGGGCCGCCGCGCCCCTCGTCACACAGAGAAGCCCAGGCTCAGAGAAGAGTGGTCCCGTTCCTAAGTGGCGGGCCAGGTGCTGCCCCCCAAGCCCAGGCAAGACTTACAGGCACTGGCTTGCCTGGAAGGAGGGAGAGAGAGCGAGCTTTCCACCAGGAGAGGTGGCCGTGCGTGCAGGGTGCATCCCTGTGCCGTCCAGTATGGTCACTACGAGTGCCACGGGCCATTTAAGCGTGACCAAAACTCAAAGTTCACCTCAACAGTCGCACTGGCCACTTGTCAAGCACACCACGGCTGTCCAAGGGGGACAGCATCTACCATCATCAGAAGTTGGTCGGACATGCAGGACACCATGTGCCACGGCGAGCGCTGAGTGTGTGCCCACAGCCTCTGGCTATGGGGGTCCATCGATCCCGATCGGCCCGTTTCACAGGAGGGGAGATTGAGGCAGTTAGTGCTAAAGGGAACAGGAGAGGAGTGGGCAAGATCCCCTGAGGCCAAGGGGGCCAGGCAGCTGCGACTCTGTCAGCCCCCAGATGGGGCCCCTGATAGGGCAGAGGCCAGAGATGGGGAAGAGGCCACAGGGGCCCCAGATGAGCAAAGGGGGAGGGAAAGGGGAAGGGGAAGTGAGCAAGGGGGCGGGGACCCACCTGGCAGCCCCCAGCAGCTCTCACACACCTGTGCACACACAGACACACCCCACTCTGTGCCCACCTCCCTCCCTCCTTCTCCCTTTCTCTCTCTCTGTCTCTCGCGCACACACATTCACCCACACCCTGCCGCTGCCCCGCACAACCACACCCCCAGTCCCCACAGACTCACAGTTCCCTGGCCACAGGTCCCCGTGCTTGCACGTGTCCAGCCAAGCCACGGCCCCACACCGTCGCCCCTGAAGCCCACAGGTGGATAAGAGGGAGGCTGGGACAAACCGTTTTTGAACTTCCATGTTGCCAGGCTGTCCAGCCCCACCGCCCCCGAGGCTGGGCAGGGACTGAGACTCCCCAGAATCACAAGGGAGCTGGGGTGGGGGGAGGGGGCGTTCATAGCAAACCCACTCACCCCCACTCCAGGCCCCTCCCCGTTCCTGCGAGCAGCCGCCTCCTCCAGGGAGACCTCCAGGGAGACCTCCAGGGAGGCCTCCATGGGCCCAGGCGCTGTGAGGGGGACCGTGGGACCTCGGGACCCACCGCCAGCTGGGGGCCCTTTTTCCTGCCTCCCCCGGGGAGCCCCCCACGCTCCCCCTCAGACGCTCCGCACGCTGGAGATGCTGGTCAGGGGCTCTCGCATCCGGAAGCTGAGCGACCTCGAGCCCCGAAAGCTGTCGCGGGGCCTGAGCGAGCTGTCCGTGGTGGAGGCTGCAGAGTGGGCCTCGCCGACCTGGGCCAGGCAGTCCCGGGGCCCCTGCAGGCCCAGCCGGAGGCAGCTGCAGCAGAGGAAGGCCAGCACGGCCTGGCACACCTCCCTGCTGCGGAAGGAGTAGATGACGGGGTTCACGGCGGAGTTGAGCACGGCCAGCGCCAGGATCCAGTCCATGCCGCGCAGGTACTGCTGCGCCCAGTCGGTGGAGCTGAACACGTCGGCCAGCAGCAGGCCGAAGAGCGGGCCCCAACACAGCACGAAGGCCACCAGGATCATGAGCACCGTCTTGAGCAGCCGGCGGGCCTTGCGGCGGGCCGGCGAGCGCGGCGCCTTCTGGCCGTTGGCGCGCACCACGCGGAAGATGGCCCCGTAGAGTGCGGTGACGGCCGCCAGGATGCAGGCGAAGACGCCCACGCAGAAGAGGATGTAGGCCTTGGAGTAGAGCGGCAGGAGGCTGGAGCAGCGCGCGAAGGCGCACACGCAGTTCCAGCCCAGCAGCGGCAGCAGCCCCAGCAGGCCGGCCAGCAGCCAGCACAGCCCGATGAGGCCGTACACGCGGCCGCGCTTGCTGGCGCCGCGCTCGGCCACCGGCCGCACCATGGTGGCGAAGCGCTCGGCGGCCGTGAACAGGAGGCTGAAGGTGGACGCGGCCAGCGCCGTGAAGAGCAGCCCCTCGCGCAGGAACCAGTGCGCCGGGCGCAGGTGGAAGGTGCGCGCGCCCGACAGCAGCACGTTGGCCAGGTAGGCGACGCCGGCGAGCAGGTCGCTGAGCGTGATGTTGACCAGGCAGTAGTAGACCCAGCGCCGCGAGCGCATGTGCGTCGCGATGGCCACCAGCACCACGAGGTTCTCCAGCACCACCAGGCAGCTCACGGCCACGAAGACCCCCCGCAGGACCCCCAGGCTCGCCTCCTCGGGGCCCCCCCGCCCGGCCAACCGGCCGGAGTGGTTGTAGTGCAGGACGATGAGCCGGCTGTGCCCGCTGGCCGCCAGCTGCTGGCAGGACTCGGGGGCCCCTGGCGGGGACCCCGTGCTGTTCATGGCGGTCCCCTGGGGCAGACTGAGGCCCCCGGGGTGGCTGGGGCCCGGGGCAGGGTGGAGCCGCCCGCCACCGACCGCCGCCTGCCTGGCCTTGGTTTCCTGTTGTTTCGAATTTCCTGTTATGTTCAAGGTACCCCCCAGGCTGGGGGTGAGGCCGCGGACAGGGAGGGGCATCCTAACGGTCGGCGGCTCCCACCCGGGCTCCACCCGACTCCTGCCAAGGGACCGTGTCTCTGCCTCCTTGTGGTCCTGGAAAGCCCAGGGAGGGGTGGGGGCACCAGTGGGGATGGGAAATGGGTCGCCCCTCCCCGGGGCGCTCACAACCCTTCCTTGGGCTGGGCGACTCCCTTGCCCCCAAAAACCACCCTCTCCAGGCCCCAGCTGCTCTCCTGGACCAATCCAAGCCTGCCTGGCACACAGTAGGTGCTTAATACGTGTGTTAAGTAACGGCACGCACGCGAGCACCCCCAGATACCTCATTGGAGGCATAGGTGCCTCCCATTTCATTCCCAGGACGGACCAGCTGCGTGTCTGTGCGCAGAAAAGGAGGCTGAGGCCTGGATACTTGGTACCAGCGGTCTCCAGCCGGAGATAAACACCTGCACAGGGACCCATGTAGGTCTCGGCCAGGACCCTCCTTACTGGGGTGGCCTGCCCTGCCTCCGAGCTGGTTCTGCTAGGAGCAGAGCTGCTGTGGACAACCCCTCCCCCAAGAGAGCCCCCCCCCCAGCTCAAGACAACCCCTCACCTCTGGAGGGGGAGGGGCTCATAGAAAAAGTGGGAACTCACTCCCCCCATGCCTATCTGGGGATGCTGAGGACTGGAGCTGTGGGGGGGAGGGGTGCTAGGTGGGGGAGGGGTTAGAGTAGAGACCATGCTCAGGAGTCTGGGTGGGGGAGGCACAGGGGTCCCATGAGGGGCTCCAGTATCCCCATCAGGGGCAGGGCAGTCAGGGGACTGGGGCTGAGGGCAGCCCAGCTGCCTGTGGCCGCCAAGCAGCACCCCTCCCTTTGCTCACTGGTCAGCCCCGGGAACAGTACAGTTGCAGGGAACCACCGACACAGGGTCTGCCTGGCGGAAGGCGCCGCTTCTTGTTACTGCAGGTGACCAGGCAGAAGCAGGGACCTGAAGACGAGGCTGAGGGGACAAGGGCTACCCAGGCAGTGGGGCTGTGAGGCTGCGGCAGGGGGACAAGCAGCCACGTCTCTCTCAGGTACCACCCTGCAGGGCTGAGAACTGTGCTTTGGTCTCAACTTCACAAGGAACCACCCAAGTCGGCGCATTCACAGAGGGACACAGTGTGTTCTGAGGCTGAGACTGGACCCTGAAATGGTACCTGATCCCAGATGGAGCCCTGATCCCAGATGGAACCCTGATCCCAGACTGAGCTCTGATCACTGACTGAGCCCTGAGTCCAGGCTGAATCCTGATCCTGGACTGAGCCCTGAGCCCAGACTGACCCCTGAGCCCAGGCTGAGCCCTGAGCCTGGACTGAGCCCTGACCCTGGACTGAACCCTGATCACTAATTGAGCCATGATCTCAGAATGAGCCCTGATTACAGGCTGAACCCTGAGCCCAGGCTGAGCTCTGATCCTAGACTGAGCCCTGATTCCTGGCGGAACCTTGACCTTGGCTGAGTGTGTGACTATAGACCAGCCACAACTCTGGCTCCTGACCCTGACTGAGACCTGGCCCTGGACTGAGCCCTGAGCCCAGGCTGAGCCCCGGTTCTAACTGAGCCCCAACCCCCACTCCAGCTGCATCCCTGACTCTAGGCTCAGAGCAAATTCAGGACTAAAGTAAATGTAACGAGAGAACAGAGTGTGACTAGCAAGGCCAAGCCATCCACCAATGATGCCACGAGTTACCTGCTACCCGGCGGAAGGCCTGTGTGCGTTTCACCTTATTGAATCTCACAATTACCCCACGCTACAGAAGAGAAAGCCCCCCTCTAGAAGCCTGCCCCGGGACAGCTCTGACCATGCACAAGTATGCCTCCAAAAGGTTAGTCGTCGTCGTTTGTAAATGCAAAATAGCAGAAGCAGCCTGAGCGCCCGCACGCAGGGGGGATGCCGACCGGCCACGCGCGCCACAGCGTGGAGTACCACACAGCCACAAAAAAGAGTGGATCGGATCCCCCTCCACGTCGTATTGTTAAGTGGGGAAAAATACGAAGAGGTATATGGGATAAGCTGCCTTCTGCGAAACAAAGAAGGGGGAATGAAATATATACACAGCTGCTTGTTTTCTCAAAAGAAACACAGGAAAGATAAACCAGGAAGCAATGAGATCGGTTCCCTCTGGGGGTGGCAGATGGAGTGGAAAGAGGGGATGACAGCCTCTGGACATTCCTGCTCGCGTGATTTTCAAACTGTTTTTGCTCTCTATATTCTACAATAAAATTAAATCCACAAGGTGCGGGGAAGAAAGCTCGAGAATGGGTCATAAACCGAAAACAGAGGAACCGAACTGTGTTTCAGATGAAAACCACAACCACACAGAGATAGAGGAGAACGAGCCCATGCGACTTTGGACATGCACTTGTCCTAAAGACAAAAGGAACTACAGAAAAAGAAATATGAATTTTGTGTTGTCGGTTTGTTTTCAGGAGGGGTAGAGGTGTAGTGATTCTGAAACTCTCGTGTGTATTATGGGACGAGCAAAGTAGCAAGTGTACGGATCTTACTAAGAACCGGGTCCATTGGCAGCGCCTGGGTGGCTCAGTGGGTTAAAGCCTCTGCCTTGGGCTCAGGTCATGATCTCAGGGTCCTGGTATCGAGCCCCACATCGGGCTCTCTGCTCAGCAGGGAGCCTGCTCCCCGACCCCCACCTGCCTCTCTGCCTACTTGTGATCTCTGTCAAATAAATAAATAAAATCTTTAAAAAAAAAAAAAGATCCGGGTCCACACTGGGCAGGAAACATGATGTAAATACGGAATAGGAGCGCATATCACTCGACCCCATGGACGGTATCAGCGTGGGCCCATGATTGAAACAAAAATCTGTCGCCTCACTGTGTCTGCTGAGACAAGCCAGGAACAACAGGCATAGCTCTCCCGCACCCAGATCTCAGGTTCTAAACACCACCTTTGGGGCTCCTGGGAGAAATGGATGATTCCAGGACCGGGGCAGGCAGGGGGCCTGATGGGCCTGGAACATCTTGGTGTTCCAGAGAGTCAGGAAGTGCCCTGAGAAGGACAGGGACTGGTCAGAGACACAGGAGCCAGCCTGGCGGGGCCAAGCCTGGAGCCGTGTGGGCATCAATACTGAGTGACCTTAACATTGGAGAGACGGGAAGTGGCGGTTGTGCGCCGCAGGGGGGCAGGGGGGAACCATTGGTGTTTGATGGGGACAGAGGTCAGGTTTACAAGATGAAAACAGCCCTGGAGGGGGGCGGGGGGGATGGTGTATGACATTATGGACGTGTTTAATGCCGCTGACTGAAAATGCTTAAAATGGTGCATTTTATGTAAAGTGCATTTTACCACAATAAAACAAATTAGGGGGCAAAAAAAGAGTATTCTTTCTGTATGGCCCAGCAATCGTACTCCGAGGCAACCCCCAATAACCCCACAGTCACCATTTTGTGGCGGGGACAGAGTGACCGGCCCAGGCAACAGTCAGTGCTGGGGGTTAAGGTATCAGGTTGAAGTTGGTTGGGGAGCATGGTCTTTGGATAATCTCAAAGTGTCTTCCGATGGGTTCCTTTTTTTTTTAAATTTTTAATTTTAATTTTTAATTTTTAAAAGATTTTATTTATTTGACAGACAGAAATCACAAGTAGGCAGAGAGGCAGGCAGAGAGAGAGGGGGAGGCAGGCTCCCCGCCGAGCAGAGAGCCCAATGCGGTGCTCGATCCCAGGACCCTGAGATCATGACCTGAGCCAAAGGCAGAGGCTTTAACCCACTGAGCCACCCACGCACCCCTATTTTTAATTAAAAAAAAAGATTTTATTTATTTATTTGACAGAGACACGGCGAGAGAGGGAACACAAGCGGGGGATGTGGGAGAGGGAGAAGCAGGCTTCCCGTCGAGCAGGGAGCCTGATGCGGGGCTCGAAACCAGGACCCTGAGATCGTGATCCAAGCTGAAGGCAGACGCTTAACGACTGAGCCACCCAGGCGCCCCAATATTTAAATTTTTTTTAAGTAGGCTTTGTGCCCAATGTGGAACCCAACACAGGGCTTGAACCCACGACCCTGAGATCAAGAGTCAGTCCCTTAACCCACTGAACCACTCAGGCGCCCCCTACAGCTCACTTTTGAGTTACAAAGAGGAAACTGTCTTTTTGGGGAAGCCCAGTGAAGATGGTGTTTACATCACTAGGAGTGTGATAAATGGGCATCCTGGGGCGGGGGGGGGGGGGGGGGGGGGCGCGGGGGGGGGGGGGGGGGGGGGGGGGGGGGGGGGGGGGCGGGGGAGGGGGGTGGGGGGGCGGGGGGGGGGGGGGGGGGGGGTTGCTGCTGGGATGTTCCCACTGGAAGTGTGTATCCCACATCTGACCGAGGAAATCAGCCCCCAGACCCACCCTGAGGCACATCCTGCAGAATAAGTGGCCTGCACCCTTCCAAAGGTCAAGGTCAAGAAAAGTCAAGAAAGACAAAGGAGCATGGCTGCATGTCAAGTCTGGGATGGAAGGAGACCCCCTCGCCCCCAACCCCCCAGCTGCTACGGGGCCTGGAGTTAAGTGCGGGAGTGAACCTGGACGGGACTCGAGCGTAGGGGGGAAAGGTGCCGGAAAACACGGTGTCAGGACGACTGACGGGATTTTCACTTGGGCTATATCTTATATATACACACGAGATTGCCTGAACTTGACCATCGTCCTTTGCTTACATAACAGAAGGTGTTTGTTCATGGAAATGCGCGGTGTTTTCGAGTGAAGGTTGGTGATGTCTCCAACGCACTGTCAAATTACTTAGAAAAATAGAGAACAAGGAGGAGAAGGTTTTCTACAGAATATATTATATGCTTTTAGATCATGCTTATAGGCAGAGAC